GTGCATATGTTAAATAATGATTGAAAAGACTACATTCCCCTTAAGGCCTGGTTCACACTACATGCATTTCAGTTGCGTTTTTTTCTGCATCCAAAACACAAAGAAAGTAGGTTATATGGTTGTCAATGTTATAGTTCACATCAGTGCTTGCAGTTCCAGTGCGTTCCGGGTGCAGAATAAAAAGTAGAACAGACTGCATTTTTTCTGCACAGAACTGTACTGGAACACGGTAAAATGCATCAAAAACGCACCAGAACGCACTGGAACACACCAAAAACATACCAAAAACACACTGGAATGCACATGTCCCTATTTAAATTGAAGAAAAAGAGAGAGTAAAAAATGAACTGGAATGCATAAAAAAATGCACTGGAACAAGTCAAAAAGGCATCAAAAATGCACCAAAAACGTGCATGCAAAAACGCATCCAGAACACATTTGGACTGTGTTTCTATAGTGTGAACTGGCCCTGAAGGTCAACTCTAAACTGATATAAAATACATAAACACAGATTTGTAACCATTAATACATCATTTAATGTACTTTCTTTAAATGCAAGCAATACAAGTGCTTGAATTTTACAAATTGATTTTTTAGTCAATTGTACAGCAGAGATGAGTGTGAAATGAAAAAAACAGATCAAGGAACCAATCACTTCATGATATGACAATATACAGAGAAAGCAAAATACGCTCCACCCTGTGCTGTTTCCCATTTTGATGTCCAGCTGGGGGTGGGAGCAAGATGACCTGGGCTCACAGAAAGTCCATTGAATATCCACTTGACCTCTGGAAGATTTACCCCCCTTCCTGACCAGGCCATTTTTTTGCGATACGGCACTGCATTACTTTAACTAACAATTGTGCGATTATGCAATGCTGCACCCAAATAAAGTTTATATAATTTTTTCCCCACAAATAGAGCTTTCTTTTGGTGGTATTTGATCACCACTGCATATTTTTTTTTTCTGCTATAAAACATATCCAACAATATAATTAAAAAAATCAAATCGTCATAAATTTTGGCCAGTATGTATTCTGCTGCATACTTTTGGTAAAAAAAAAATCTCAAGAAGCATTTATTGATTGGTTTTGCAGAGCCAAACTATGGGATATATACTGGAATTTAAATTTTTTTTTTTTTTAATACTAGTATCGGCGGCAATCAACGACTTATAGCAGGACTGCGATATTGCAGCGGACAATCTGTCACTAACTGACACTTTGTGGGAACCAGTGACACTAATACAGTGATCAGTGCTAACAATGTACATTGTCACTGTACTAATGACGCTGGCTGGGAAGGGGTTAACATCTAGGGCAATGAAAGAGTTAAATGGTTGCCTAGCCAGTGTTTATGTGTACTGTGTGAGGTGCTTTGCAGGGAAGAACATCCATCACATCCCTGCTACCAGTATGGAGCTCTACCTTGTTTACATAGGCAGAGGTCCATCCTGTGTGTTTCCTTGATTGGCGGGTGCCAGCGGACATACGTTCGGCAGCATCCGCTGATCAGCTTATATTGTGACAAATCACAGTAGAAGTGGTGCGCTGGCAGCGCCTGCTCCCGCAATGCAGACGTGTAAAATCACATGCAGTATATATACGTGACTTTGCACACAGCGGCTGCCCTGTAGTAGTAAAACGGCTATGGAGCCGTCAGCTAGTGGATATTGCTGGTTACTTTAGTGATGGCATCTAGAGGCAGAAAAAAGGTAGTGCATGTGAAATCTCTAAAGGTAAATATTGAAGCAAAAGCTGTTTTTACTATTTTACCTTTTAATAGGCTATTGATTTTTATCTTTATTTTGGCTAGAGTTCTGCTTTAAAGCTTGTTAGGGAGCTGAGAACTTTGTTATGATTTTCTACATTAACCACCTGCTGACTGCCCGCAGTAAAATTGGGTGGGCGGCTCATACAGGCAAAATCACATACCTGTATGTCGGCAGTGCCCCCCCCCCCTCATGGCAGAAACCTACTGATCTGCTGTTTCCAACCACAGCTCAGAGCCCTGTGTTGACAAACACACAGAGCTCTGTACAGAGGAAACAATCTGTTTCTTCTCCCTGTTCTTCCTGCAAAGGGAAAGGAACAAACAGATATTTAGTAAAAAGCAGCACATATTACACACATTAACACTTGTTAGGCACACACTTAACCCCTTCATTACCTCTAGATATTAACTCCTTCCCAGCCAATGTCATTAGTTCAGTGACAGTGTATAATATTATCACTGATCACAGTATTAGTGTCACTGGTGATGTCAGTGTCAGGTATTCAGTTAGTGTCAGATTGTCCCCGCACTATCACAGTCCCACTATAAGTCGTTGATCACCGCCATTACTAGTATAAAAAATAAATAAATACAAATTCCAGTACATATACTATCATTTGTAGGCACTATAATTTTCACACAAACCAATCAAAATACACTTATTTGATTTTTTTTTCAAATTATTATATATTATATAATATAGAATAAAAAACAGTGGTGATCAAATACCACCAAAAGCAAGCGCTATTTGTATGAAAAAAATGTAAATTTCATTTAGGTACAGAGTTACATGACCGTGTAATTACCAGTTAAAGTAGCGCAGTGCTAAATAGCAAAAAATGCCCTGGTCATGAAGGTGGCAAAACTTTCCAGTGGTCAATTGGTTTTAAATCTACTACAACAAATATTAGAATTATCACAAAAGCAAACATTGACTTTTTGCACTTTAACAGAAAACATTAGTGACATTCTGTATAATATTACAGCATGCTGCTAGTACATATGAACACCATAGATACACCATGTGAAAAAAATATATGGTCCACATAGCGAACTTGATGCAAAGGTGTTTACTGTAAAATGGTATTAAACCCCCCCCCAAAAAAAAAAATTTTTTTTTATATTACAGCATACTATCTCTTAGATGTGATAGTTGCATTTATTTTGTTTTTTAAACCTGTCTTCTATTTTCATCTGGTGATCCAGTCAGTAAGTCTGTTGTTTTTCAAACGGACAATCTCTCTAGCACAATGTATTATATCAGTTACAGAGATGAGACAAACCATTTAACACTGAGAGGGGTGCTTACAATGATCATCTTTTATTTATTTATTTATGTAAACCTTTTATCCTAAAATGAACATAAATCTGCTAGTACATCTAACACTCCTCTTCTCCCAGATGTCCATGGGTGCCCCCCTGTGCTCATTCATGCAGGGTGGAGGGACTATAATACAGGAGGTGTGTTACTGGACAGATCACCAGGTAAAAACAGAGGGGGGAAAACTCTAACAAAAGAGAACTGATGTATCCACCACATCTAAGGATAGGTAAGCTGCAATGTAAAGTATTACATTTTTGGTTTTGGGTTTAATACCTCTTTAAGATCATTGCAAAGGACAAGGGGGATCTACTTATGTCTAGAATGTCTAGAGGAAAATAGGTTTAACCTCCACATGTGGAAAGGTTTCTTAACAGTTGGAACTGTAAAACTGTGGAACAGACTCCCTCAAATGTGGAATAGGCCTCCTTCCTATTTTCTTTGTTTTACTTGAAATGCATTATTGAGGGGAAAATAATAATAGTTAATATTATTATTGTCATTATTGTTGTTGTTTTCATTGTTACATCATTGACAGGATAAAGCCAGTACTAAAGGGTTGTACTGGCTGCAGAGACAAACCAGGCACGTGCCTAGATCAACTCCATTATTGGAAGCAGTAAAAATGAACCTATGACTGTATTATTCTGTCTGAGTTAGTGTCTTTAATTGTGACTGGCAGAAAGTGAATATATGCATTCTTACTGCTCTAATTCATGAAGGCAGTGATGTAGGAAAATGCTCTGTTAACTTGCAAGCTCCATGTAAACAGCTAAATATATAGTAGAAATGCATGGAGCTGTTTACATTCCAAAGCATTTGTTATCTTGTCCACCCAATCCAGAGATTTATACAACCTTGACAGATAGCACAGCCAGCCTGATGACCTCACTTTTTATCTACTGGAGATAACCAATACAGCTTGGTCACCTTCCCACCCTCGGCTACTTAAAGAGGAGCTACAGTGAAAGCTGCGTAAAAATTAAAAGTAAGCAGCTACAAAGACTGTAGCTGCTGACTTTTAATAAACAGCCACAAACCTGTACCACGATCCAGTGCTATGCCCATCCGTTTTCACCTCCCGTCTTCTGTCCCCAGTGCCGACTTCTTAACTATGGGCACCTGGCTGTGACAGCTTGCAGCTTAACAACTGGGTGCCCACTGCGCATGCGAGAGCCGCACTGCACATTGTGAATGGTCCCATAGACCTGTCACGTGTTCCAGAAGACTGTGGGAAGGGAGGGGGGAGAAGAATTTCTGATTCGATTGCCTAGGCGGTCGGACTGGAAGTGGCAATAGGTACCTGTCAAAATCAGGTACCTGCACACCCCCCTCCCAAAAAGTTCCATTTCAATAACACAAGCGGGGTAGGAGGCTTTAACCACTAGCCTACAGGGCACTTATAGCCCCTTCCTGCCCAGGCCAATTTCCAGCTTTCAGCGCTGTCACACTTTGAATGACAATTGCGCGGTCATGCAACACTGTACCCATATGAACTTTTTATCATTTTTTTTGTGACAGATAGAGTTTTATTTTGGTGGTATTTAATCGCCTCTGGGATTTTTATTTTTTTTAAACAAACCAAAAAACACTGAAAATTTTGAAAAAAAAATGTTTTTTTCTTAGTTTTTGTTATAAAATTTTGTAAATAAGTGATTTTTCTCCTTCACTGATGTGCGCTAATGAGGCTGCAGTGATGGACACTGATAGGTGGCACTGATGGGCACTGATGAGGAGGCACTGGTAGGTGGCACTGATGGGCATTGACAGGCATCACCGATGGGCACTGAAAGGCATCACTCATATATGGCACTGATAGGTGGCACTGATAGGTGGCATTGATAGGTGGCACTGACTGGCACTAATAGGCAGCACTGACTGGCACTGATAGGTGGCACTGACTGGCACTGATAGGCGGCACTGACTGGCACTGAGGCGGCACTGATGCGCACTGATAGGCAGCACTGACTGGCACTGATAGCTGGCACTGACTGGCACTGATAGGTGGCACTGACTGGCAGCACTGATAGGTGGCACTGATTGTCATTGATAGGTGGCACTGACTGGCACTGATGGGTGACACTGAAAGACAGCTCAGATGGGCACTGATATGTGGCATTGATGTGCACTGGTAGGCACTGATATGTGGCACTGATGGTCACTGGCACGAGGCACTAATGAGCACTGACATAAGGCACTGATGGACACTGACAGGTGGCACTGCTGAGGCTACACTGATCATCACAGGGCACACTGATCATCCGTGCCCTGATGATCAGTGTACATGTCCCCTCCACGGAAAGCCGATTACCGGCTGTCCTCTCCTCTCGAGCTGTCAGCGTGACAGCTCAAGAGGAGAGAAATGCCGATAATCGGCATTTCACTGTTTACATGTGATCAGCTGTGATTGGACACAGCTGATCACATGACCGAGCTGACATCTTCGGCTCTTTCCGTGATTGGTGATCCGCTGTGTCCGAGGGACACAGCGCATCACCGATAGCCGCGCTGCACGCTCCCTGAGCCGCGCATGCGCAGTGAGACTGGGAGGATGTCATATGACGTCCTCCCAGAACGAGAGAAACACCATGCGCCGTCATATTACTATATGGCGGGCGGGAGGTGGTTAAAGTATAAGTTCTCCTTTTGGGTGAATCTCCACTTTGAGCTAATTGTTTTTCTAATAAATGTAATGATTATATGATCCAACAAAAGAATCTTTTTTTTTTTTCGTGCCTTGCTTTTTAGACCTGTTGTTGGGGTTATTTGGGGTGCTAATTCAGAAAATTGTTTTGGCTAGACTGCATCAGCTCTAGTTTCTTAGATATTGTCGAATTTATATAATTGTTTAGTCAGTTTTTCAAAAGATTTTGCTGATCAACTTGTTCTTCTGTTACCTAGTTTGTGTTTTAATGTACAAGTTAGCAAATATAGTGAGAGTATTTACATACTTCCAACTGTGATGTTACATCGGAAACATTGGATTGTAAAGTGTACGTTATTAACTGTATTATAGTTACGATCGTACAGGAGGTGTGTATATTGCCACTCATATTGTATCATTTTTACAAATTGAGCAACTTAGAGGTGTAGGAGACTGGATATAGTAAATGCAGTGTACTGGGTTTAGTAACACTTTAAATAAAATACTACATTAAAATATTTTAATTTTTGACATGCGACCAGTGTGAAAAGTGGTATATGGCATTTATGCTGTATCTCAAACTAGATTTGATAGGAAAAAAATGGTGCCATTTTTGGAATTAGCAGGTCAAATATACCCAGGAGCAGTTCTAACATTCGAGGTACCAACATTTTTGTTGGCCTTTGTTATCAAAGAATTAACTGCATTAAATAATGTTTTTTTTTATTTGCCAAGGGTTTCGCTTTAAGTAATTTCTATGAACGGGGAATGGAGGCAGAGGAGGAAATGAGAGATTGTATTGGCTAATTAGAGGGGGAGCAATGTCAAACATTCAACTCTGCATGATCAACTTTCCCTTCAACAGCATGAGGTTGGAACTTCTAGAGGTAAAGGATTGTTGCCTGATTAGCTGAAAACTAATATCTCATGTCATGTCTGAAGTCTCTCTAATGGGGTTCATGCATGGTGTATCAAAGGTACCCTTAGATTGCCTCACCCCAGTACCATAGGGCAGAGACTGTAGCTGGTGAGCAGGGGCGGACTGACAACTCATGGGGCCCCTGTGTCCTTGCCCAAACTCAAAAAAGCCTATGAAAAAGGTACCAGGGGCATCTCATGGGCAGTGCCCGAGTTTCCAAATGGTCAGTCCGCCCCTGCTGGTGAGTTTAGCTTTACTTTTAGCAGCCCCAGGTCCCTTTAGGGGAGTTGGCCTACAGGTTTTTGTTTGTCCCCAGGTCTTAATACACAATGCTATAGTTCTGGCCAGGTGGCATGAATGACTGAGCAAGGATCTAGTAAAGAGTACCTGTGGTCTTCAGGAGTGGACAGTAGAACAGCAGGTGAGTATCCCATAAGGAATTCCAAAGGCAGGTGGTGAGTGAGGCAGGCGATATATGAGAGAGCAGAGATTAGGGCAGACAACAAATGATAAAGTAATCCAGGAACAGGCTAGCTAGAGTCAAGGTAACAATAATCAGAGTGTTCAGTACAGGACCAATTTAGACAGAACTATCACAAGTCCAAAGCCCTGAGCTTGTGATGTTTAGTTAGAGCACCAGAGGCCTGGCAGCCAGTGAGGAGGGAGTGGGAACAGACAGTGCCAAGCTGCTATCTAGCAATAGGGATGCTGTACAATGGGATCACGGCCATCAGTCAATGGGAGCAGAGGTGTATTGTCCCCAGAGCAGAGTCTGTAACCCGACAATGGGCACTTCGACTGGGCAGAATACAGTAGTCGAACAGCAGTCTGAATAGTAGAGGTTTGTCTAGCGCTCTCACAGGGATGTGTAGGTACCATCCTTATAGCAACAAACAAATGCACATTTTAGGATTGAGTTTTAGATTTTTGTAGACAAAATGACTGTCATTTGAAAACAAGTTAGTGGGTGTGTTTGATAGAAACCTGTGTGGATTTAACTGGGTGTAGTGTCTGCAGCAGAGCTTGATAAGAGATAACATACAGTATTTCCAGAGTTTCTGTTTAACAGGATGTGAATAGAGCCATATTTACACATCTGATTGCTAAGCATTATTAACATTATAAAGGGAGCAGCTGCAGTGAAGCTCTACTTCTGATTAGATGTCCACAACTTTTGTTAACTTGTGAGGCACATAATCATGTTAATTGTAAATTATTTCATTGTGTGTTCTTGAAGATAGAGATTTCTCTCCAAACAATCCCCATAGCTGCATGTTCCTGATTTAATGGGACTTTTTTTTTGTCCTTGGATTTTTAGCCCTTGGAAGTGTCTGCTTTTAAGATCTGACCATTATGAATCTTTTATATATAAAGCAATACATTTGTTTGTTTTGGATATAGTAAAGAATTGCTAACACTCCAGGCTTGTTTGTTTTTTGCTGCCTGTGTCCTTTTGGAAAGATTTCCTTCACTTCCTGCCCTTTTCTTCTCACACTGCACTGGAAAAGTGTCCTGTACTTCTGAGTCATATTGAAGAGTGAAGCTGTCTGTGGATACTGCTGAGAGCAAGTATCCATAATGTTTGAATGAATTGAGTTCTAAGTAGGTACCTCATTTCATATAGTGGCAACTGAGAGAGAACACATTCAGTCAAGGTTCACGTGTACTTTAGGTGCAGAACAAAAATTAGAAGTATTATTGTGCCAAAAAATGGCTTCTTGTTAGATGGGAAGATGAGAAACATAGCAGAGTAGTCCAAGCCTAACCTTTTGTTTATGAACAAAGTCATGTGAGCTTTGTCAGCACTAAAATCGGAGATTAGGTTTAGGGTTTGCTTTGTTTGTCAGCAAAGCTATTGATCACCATATCAATGCTGTCATAGTAATCACAGGCCTTTGTTGGAAAACAAAGACATATTTATTTTTCACGCACATTTTGTTTAAGTAATCCATATTTCATAATATGAAGGTTATTTTCACAAAGTTTCTGGAAAGGTGAAATTGGTAAATTTGAAATCACTCCCTCTTCCCACAAAGCGGACCTTTATTCTCTCAATCAATATTACCTAATTCTAATCCTTATGCTACTAGCATTAGTATATAGATTTTAAAACAAGTAAATATAACGTGATTTCCACTTTTTTTTTTACATCTCTTCAGTTGCTTCCTGGTTTCTGACCTAGGCCCATATTATGTCATACGTCCCAGAAGTCACCATGTGCCTTTTTTTCTATCTTCTAGAGGAAGGGCTTTCTCAGCTAAGCACACCCTTTTGTCTGCATGTCTAACATGCTTAGGGCAGGTGCTTCCAAATAGTTATGCAAGAATGGTGCATCTGAGAAGGAAAAATGTATGGTATTGGATGAGTTTTACTGCTCTTTTTTCAAAGCCTATTGCCCCCTGCAGGTCATGCCACACAAAAGGGCCCTGAGAGGCTGGAGAATTCTCTCCTTCAAGATGTAGCCATTACTCTGTCAGACTGAGCCCCCATCTGGGGGGCCTAGTTGGGATTCCCTACGGGGTCTGGAACCTGAGGGCTTACATGGGCCTATAACTGCCAGTTATGGACTTATTGCCTTTTATGGATTATTACCAAATCATGGACTTTAAAGGATTACTTGCTACTTTTTATTTATTTTAAATAAATGGACTATTATATTACCTAAATACACTACTGCAAGGATTGCTTTTATGAACTTGCCATTTGCCTAATGCACAATCACTTTATGGGGCACCAAAGAAAGTGTATGGAAGATGTCACTGAGAACTGTTTGTGTGTTACCTGCAAGTACCTCAGTAAAGGATCTTTGTTTTTCATCTGAATTGCTGGGTCTGAAGTCTCTCTAATGGGGTGCATGCATGGTGTATCAAAGAACAGGGCTTAGATTAGGGGACTAGTTAGAGAAGATACAGTACAGAAAGTCCAGCATGTAGGGTGCCGTCTATAGTAGGTTATATTGTCATTGCTAGGAACTATCGTAATTGTGTCTCTTGCAAAGGCATCCAACCAACCAAGGAACTGGTGACATGGCAATAGTGACAGACAGTCTGGTAATAAAGGGGTGTTGTGTTTGGCACCTTCACTAGCGGTCATCTCTCTGTACACTGGGATTGGATCTGCAGCATAGAGTACCTAGAGACCTAACCTGGAACCATCAGGGAGAGATGTAGCGGGGCCCCAGGAGAGAAAACAATCATGAGTTGGGAAGAAGCGCGTTTCCTGTATCCAGTAGCAACAGTGTGATATATCACTTCGGTTAGGTGACAAGATTTCTGAGTTGATGGAGACCGGTATCTGCTCCGCAGTACCGACTCAGAAATGCCACACACCTGGGGAAGTGGTGGTCTCTAACAGTAGCTGTGTCCAGAGTGCTTAATGTAAACAGTGTTTGGCCAGGTTACAAAAGAGGTTACTGTGCAAGTTGTTGCTCGCTTCTGAGTTGGGAGACCTGCCTTAATATTGATTGAACATGATCAAAGCTCTCTGCCTTTGGTTTAGTCATTAGCATGTGCAGTTCCACAGTGTCCCCACTAGGGTGCCATAAGCCCCGCCCACAAGCAGATCAAATCGAGAAAGTAAATGCTACATCTGACCTTACTTAAGATGATCATGGCTTGAAATGCTAGGGGGTGTTTTTTAAAGTGATTTCTTGACAAAATAAAAAAAAGCATGGAGACATGGGTGGATGGATGAGTTTACTTTGAATATTAAAAATGAATTAAATAGCATTTTCAGTTCTTGTTGCTCAGATACAGTAAAGTTCTGCTTTAATAGAAGCAGAAATTTCCCAACATGTTGGAAAATGTCCACATGACCAAACCATAACATTTTTATATGGTGGAAAGGAACTGTTCACTCTGTTGGTACCAACATCAGTACTGGAACACCTGTAAGATGGTCTGGCAGAAGCCTAGGGCCCTGCAGGCATTCAAG